GTCCCAAGTCTACACACTAGGTCAGAGGTGTGGAGCTGGGCAAAGAAGATGACCAACCATGCTCAAAGGAAGTGCCCCAGCCAGAGAGCCAAGGGTGATAGCAGGGGACAACGCTGTCCTTAATAGCATCTCTTCACCAATGACTACAGTCCTCTATCCTTTATACTCCAGTTCCCCGGATGAGCTCACCTTTGGCCTTTTAAGTAAAAAATCGGCTGAACACCCCTCCTGCCCTTCAAGTAGTCTGACTGTGGTCATATCCTGGGGTCCGAAGTCCCTCTAGCTGGCTCAGGGTGAGGGCACTGCCTACCTGAACCCGTACAAGAGTGCAAGGAGACCACTCTTGGGGATTCACAGATAACACACTCCTGACCTGGTTGCTCTGCCGAGGAGGGTTGGGAGGGCCCGAGCTGATCTCATCCAAATAGCCCAGCTCATTTTCTCTAATTTTGGATAATTACTTTGCTTGGAGAGCCACCTGCCCCTCTCCTGGTGCCTCTAGCCTTTCCTATCCCCAGTCTGACCCACACTCTCCCACACGCAACGCCTTCAATGACTCCCTGACGTATACACAGTCTGAGACTTGGAGTTCCTGTACCCAAGATCACCCTCTGCTCATGACCACTTCAGTCTAGTGGGTCGTTCCTTCACAAATGACCTGACCCTCAGCATCTTGGGATGCTTTCCCTACTTCTTAAGGGTCAGTAAACCCTTCTTCCCTTGAAAGATTGAAATCCAAGCCCCTCCCGCAGGCTGTTCACGTGTGTTTAGTTCCCCAAGCCTCTCCTCTTTGTTCATTCCCTTCTCCAACCCTAAAGCTTCAGCCTCAGAGGTTTTCTCTTAAGATGCTTGCTGACCCAAGACCTCTGGAAAGGGTCAGCAGATACACCAATCAACGCCATGGGGCTCCAGTGAACGTGGCATCCTAATTGTCACCACACACATGGAAGCACAGATGCAGGAAAAACATCAGTTTACTCATATAAACAAAATAGGAGAGCTGAGTATGCATCAATATAATACACAGATAAAGCTGATTTGATAAGCCACACACACACATACAAACACCACATAACCACATGCCACACATACACACACACACATACACATGCGAGAGAGATAAAGCTGATTTGATAAGACATACACACACACACACACACACACACCCCATCACCACCAAGCACACAACATAACCACACACCACACACACAAACAAATACCACATAACCACACACCACATACACATATACATACACATACAAATGCGACAGAAAGAGATAAACCTGATTTGATAAGCCACACACACATCCACACACATCACACCAAACACAACATAACCACACACATCACACACACATACAAACACAACATAACCACACACATCACACACATACACACAAACACAAATACAGCACCATACATACCAAACCCACAACATAACCACATACACCTCTGTCTCTCTCTGTCTCTGTCTCTGTCTCGCTCTCTCCCTCTCTCTCCCTCTCTCTCTCTCTGTCTCTCTCTCTCTCTCTCTCTCTCTCTCTCTCTCACACACACACACACACACACACACACAGAGAGAGAGAGAGAGAGAGAGAGAGAGAGAGAGAGAGAGAGAAAGCTGATTTGATAAGCCATCTGCCTTTTCTTTTAATGCCCTGGTATCAAGGAAAGATCTCCCTGGTATATTCAGGTTTTATCTTATGACCTCATAGTCTTCCCATTTTACAGGTGAACAATGCTGTGGCCCTTAGACACTCATGGCTATCTGAGGACCACTCAAAAGTCAGTTCTGTCAGAGAGTCTATGCTTGGGGACAAGCGTGTAAGGTCCTCACCACAAGGCCATGGGATTCTCAAAGCAGGGGTCTGTTTTCTCTGGTCCCCAACTCTTTCCAGATTTCAGCTAATGCAGGGACAGAGCCTTTGTGCACTGGTGAACTGGGGCTCCATTCTGGTTTCCTTCATTCCCTCCCTTTACCCTCTAGCAAAATGTGAACATCCTGGTACCTGATCTGGGCCCACCCTTCCTGTGGGTGGTCCAGAACTCTTGCTTCCCCTCTTCTTTATCATCCTCATCAACAACAGGGGTGGGTCACTCCTCATGGCCAGTATCTGATTAACTCATTCATGCTACTGTGTAAATGACTTGGTAATAACCTACTGAGTTGTTTCTCTCAGGGATACTTGCTTTTGTAGGGCAAACACACCAAGATAAGCTCTTCGGAGTCAGGGGACTTTGGACCATTCCCATCAAAAGTTGGTTATAAGTCCAACAAACATTTGATAAATGAATCAACACCAATAGATGTGACATCATGCCTATAAAGTGCTTCGTACTGAGTTTTATACTTGGCAACCACTTGATTGTCTGTGTCTATTATTTGTAATGGTCAATTTTCTGGGAGCAGCAGCAGTGGTCTGGGAGAGCCTGGGGTGTGTAGGGTCACCACCCCTTCCCTGTCCTCAGCATCTGATGACAGTGTATGGGAATGTGCTGATGTGGAGGCCACACTGGAGAGGAAGGAGGGAAGGCAGGCCGAGCCTCTGGCCTTTTAGTAACTGACACCGGTTATTGGACATTAAGAATGTTTCAGGCCTTAGGGAGTGCTTTGCATCAAATAACATGTGCAATCCTTGCCACTCTTGCATTAAAGTCTATTGTCCCATTCTCCCTGGGAGAAGCTGAGACCAGAAAGGCCAAATGTGGTAGAGAACAAATCGAGTTTCTGGGGTCTGGGTTTCCATCTGGTGCTTCTCTAGGTAGCAAACCGTCCAACATCCCATCTCTGCTGTTTGGTGTGTCTCCAGCAAGGGGCTGCCCACTGGGAGGGGCCTGATCCTGGGATGCAAGGAGCCCACAGAGGGAGGCATCGTAGCTTCTGGGATCCCCACCATACCCGGAAGACACCATTTCCCATACACATTGCCCATATGTCATTGACAGAGGACCAGAGCACAGAAAAGACAGGCCAAGCCAGAAACCAGGGTTTCAGCAATATGGATGTGGGTCAGAAGGTGGTGAGGAAAGTGGGCAGGGATGTGTGGGAACAGCTTGGCAACGTGAGGGAGGGCACTGAAGAAGAGACCAGTGAATGAGATGTCCATGGGCAGCCAGGAGAACCAGGAAACAGAGAGTGGGGAGGGGCAGAGGATGGGGGACACTGCTGACTGGGCTGGGGTGCTGCCATATGTATCAGGGAATGTATAACTGGCAATGCTGTTAACAGCGATGCTGTGCCAGGGCTGTACTCTGAGAGCACTGAAAAACCCTCCAGCATCGCACAGATGTCCGAAGGGTAATGGAATGAAGGGGACAGAGGTGGGAGGAAAGGAGAGAAGCATGCTAGGTGGCCTCTGAGGAAGTTCTGGGGACATCTGGGGAAGCTCTGCTATGTTTACAAAAGGGACAGGAGATGATGTGTGATGTGACCTTCAGAGAAGCCTTGAGGACCCTGCGTCCACAGTCATTGTCTTGCCACACATCCAAGAGCACCCCCAGGACTGAGAGTGGGGAGCAGGGCTCAGGCGCCAGCTGTATTAGTCCAGAAAGACCCATGAGGAGGTCTGGGTAGAGCATGAAAGTAAGAGATGGGGGAACAAAGGATGGATGGAAGATGGAGGGGGGACAGGGAGAAAAGAGGGTGGAGGGAGAGAAGTTAGGATGCTGTTTTGATGTCAGCGAGGAAGGAATGGAATGGAAAGGAAAGCAGGGGAGAGTGGGTTCCATACCAGTGAATCCAGATGGAGCCCCCGTTTAGCCTGTATACAGATTTTTCTTCTTTCATGACCCTATAAAATTGATAACCCCACCTCACCATGGGACACTGGCAGGGACCTTTGAGAGAGTCCATTCTCCAGAGGTGAGATAGTCATGGGCTGACTAGGGTGATTAATGGAGAGAACTGGGGCCCATCATTGGAACCAGTGACCCAGGACAGAGGGGACCGCAGATGGAGCCTCTGGGAGTCAGGTACCAAAACCATGTTTGGTGTGGTGTACAGTCATCCGCCCATTGAGTGCTTTCTGACGTTAGCTGTATGAAGTCTAGACCCCTAGAAATGGCACCAGCCAGGCTCAGCTCCTGAGTTCTCAGGCCTGGGCAGAGTAGCTGGAGCTAGTGTTCGTGGCTGAGGACAGATTGATTCGTGCTGATGCACATGACAGGGGAGAGGGGCGTGATGAAGTGGAACTCCTATGGCATGTCTTTTAACTCCCCAAACCATGTCCATCGTGTCTGTCCTCTCTACCTACTGCCAGCTGAGTCCCCATGAAGCTCCGCGCTCTTGGCTTTTCATTTTCTTCAGTGGCCAAAACCTCCACTCCTCCAGCCCCTCATCAGCCTGACTATGGATGGTGTCTGAGAGGTGCAATGGGACATTCGGTTCTCCAGAAAATGTGATCCGCACATGCTCGTCACGATCCCATAGTTGTTGTGGCCTGGGCTGCTCAGTGCTAAAGACAGGATCCTGTCACGCCAGTCCCCCAACAAAGAGAGCCACTTCTCTCTAAGGCTTTTGTCTGCAAGAGGCTTGGGGTGAATGGCTCCCAGATGGGGTTTTTCTAGGACAGGGTGTAAAGCTATGGGAATCTGTGAATACTGTACTGAATGGCCAACTCTGTCCAAAATGACTGTGTCATCTCTGCCCCCTGAACCCCTGCAAGGACGCCAACCACAGAGACAATCTGTGAAGGATGGTAGAGTGCCAGTGACATTCCCCTGGGGAGGCTGTGGCCTGGGGCAAATTACCTTATAACAGCGGGTTAATTAGATAAGACCCAAATTACCTGAGCAAGGTTTGCAAGCCTAGCAATTTGACAGTTTCATGTTGTTTCAGAGGTGGGGAGGGCTGATCTCTGGCTCAGCACAGAGAAAATGACTTTTTGCTCCTAGGCAAGCCAAACCCACGAATTAAGCTCTCCACTGCCCATCTGCAAGCCCAATGCCACGCATATATAAGGGCACCTGCTGGTGCTCACCACAGTCAGTACAACCTTCCTGGGATTTGCCTTCTTCCCTTGTACTCCATCTCCACCAGCAAGCAACATGAGCCGCCAATTCACCTGCAAGTCTGGAGCTGGCAACAGGGGCTTCAGCGGCTGCTCAGCTGTGTTGTCTGGGGGCAGTTCATCCTCTTACCGGGCAGGAGGCAAAGGGCTCAGTGGGAGCTTTGGTAGTCGGAGTCTCTACAGCCTGGGAGGCGCCAGAAGCATCACTCTCAACATGGCTACCGGCAGCGGCAAGAATGGAGGTTTTGGATTTAACCGGAGCCGGGCCAGTGGCTTTGCGGGCAGCATCTTTGGCAGTGTGGCCCTGGGACCTGTGTGCCCGACTGTGTGCCCACCTGGAGGCATTCACCAGGTCACAGTCAATGAGAGCCTGCTGGCCCCACTCAATGTGGAGCTGGACCCGGAGATCCAGAAGGTGCGGGCGCAGGAGCGGGAGCAGATCAAGGCTCTGAATAACAAGTTCGCCTCCTTCATCGACAAGGTGGGTCTGTTAGGTCGGTTAGCAGGGGCTTACCTGGGAACAGCTCACTACTCCTCCTATTGGAGCAGATGATCTTCAGTCCCTCAGGAGGCATTGAAGTTGGGTGCATTTCATTCTGCCACCTTAATATCTTGTAAAAGATTCTCTGCAGTTCGGAGAGAAAACACCAGCAGCGGTTGTTCATGCTGGTTGTTCAGGGATACTCACAGTAGAACCCTGGAGAGGAGACCTGGGCCTTGCTGAGGAGACTTGGCCTGGTACCATTCCTAAGCCTGTGGTCACACAGGTTGTACACAGTGAAGGCCAGGAGGAGAATGGACTAGAAAGCCAGTCTTCCTCACAGGCATGCTGACCTTGTACCCTAGTCACCTGACTAATGGAACAGGAGTATGAATGAGTATGTGGTCACCCCAGGCCCTTTGGGCTAAAGACTGTCAGTGGTGGGCATTCCTGTCAGTGGCAGAGGGCATGCAAGGTAGGGGTAGAGGTGTTTTGGAGTCAGAGTTGGCCATAGCTGACGGTGTGGGTGGCTTTGGGGAAAATCACTTTTCATGCCTGGGTCCAGTTTAGAAAAGAAGGCTCATGTGAAGATCTTGGCACAATGCCTGGCTCAGGCTAAGTTCCTCTGCCCCCAGTGGTGGCTGTTGTCTCTGTGAAAGGGTCCTGGGAAGCAGAGGACCCTCAGATCTGGACAAGACCTCAAGGGATCCTCCAGCTCAGCCAGGATGCTGACTGTGGAATATAAGCAACAGCTTCCCTCGGTCAGCAAGGCCATAGAGGTCACTGCCACTCCTATACAGCCATTTGGAGGGCAGGCAGGGTAAGGGCTCTCCCCTAGTCTCTTGTCTTCAGGTAGACCTCTGGGTCAGAGTTGCCAGGGTTATGTTGGCTCCAAGACAGTCAAGCATCACAACCCCAGGCCTCGCGGTCACAAGAACAGCCCTTGCTCCACATTGCTAGTCTTCCATGTGGAGGCCGCATTCTCGGCTCAGCCCCGGGGCCAAGGCTAGTGCTGCAGCTTCTTGTCCTCAAGGCTGCTCACATCTAGACAACCAAGGTGCTCCGAGGATTTGGGTCTGGGGGTGAGACTGTCCCGAACCTGTGTGGGCTGGCCAGACCCTACAAATGAACAAATTTGGAGACCCAGAAAAGCAAGATGAGGGGTGTCTCCTTGGGTAGTGGAAAGGACACCCAAAGCCTGGTTAGCTCTTCAGGAGCTTTGGTCTCAGGACCACTGTGACTTCTCAACCCCAGGTAGAGAAGAGATGGAGAGTCCAACTGGTAGCCTAGTGTGTCTAGTGACATGCTAGGCACTGTGGTGTGCCGGATGTGGTTAATGCTCAGCTCAGGAAGAACTCTGGATTGGTTAAACCAAGCCAAGTGCTGGATGATCTGTTAGAGACCAGACGTTCGGAGCATAGCTCATCTCAGTGCAGAGGTCTATGCGTTATTCCCACGTCTTGTGAACACAGCCTTGTGCTCACTGATGTTAAAGAAAAGTCAAATTTTAAAAAACTGTGCTCACCATAAGCAGCTGGGGGGGTATATGATAATGATTTCTGGTAATTTCCCTGGTCTGTCTGTCCATCAGATTTCATGTTTCGTGCTTGCTCCAGACAGGAGGGTTTTGAGCTGCACATGTGTGTGTGTGTGTGTGTGTGTGTGTGTGTGTGTGTGTGTTGGGGGACAACATCTGTGAGTAGGAGTGGGGTGGGGCTTAGTGTGGGAAATTGAAACACTCAGCAGCTCTTGGCCCCAGTCCCACTGCACTCTGACGTCATAAGACCTCATTTTCAGAGAGGATGGCTTTTCCAAACAGATGCGCCCACCCTGGCCCTGTGCTGCTGGTGTAGCGTGCACTCACTCACCTCTCCGCTTGATCACTGTTGGCTCTGGTTGATTGGAGGTCCACAGTCAGGGGACACTTGTCTGGGTTTAGTTCTGAGTTCTGCCTTTGACTAAACTTCTGGACCTTGGGAAGAAGCAAAACTTCCTCATGCCTATTTCTTCTCCACTACTCACGGCCAATCCGCCTCTGATTAGAGCTGCCCGACTCTTGCAGCTGTGGAGGGTGAAGGGGAAAGATGCAGCCAGCACAGTGGCCTCGTGTGACGAGTGTGATGAGTTCTGTGGCGCTCAACAGTAGCTGGGTTTGGGTTGCAGGTGCGCTTCCTGGAGCAGCAGAACCAGGTGCTGGAGACCAAGTGGGAGCTGCTGCAGCAGCTGGACCTGAACAATTGCAAGAACAACCTGGAGCCCATCCTTGAGGGCTATATCAGCAACATGCGGAAGCAGCTGGAGACTCTGTCTGGGGACAGAGTGAGGCTGGACTCCGAGCTGAGGAACGTGCGCGATGTGGTGGAAGACTACAAGAAGAAGTGAGTGAGGACACAGCCTGCCACAGGGCAGCGAGCCCTGTCCCTTGGGAGGGTTTAAAAATTTTGGTTCCAAAGTTTTGGAAGTGGAGAGTGGGGTCCTTGGCTACACCAAGTAGGGTCACCACATTGCAAACCTAGAGCGTGCTTCCTGCTCCCTAGCCTGGGGACTGACACTGGGGACAAATGTCCAAGTAGCTGGGGTCAGAGGTGGGTAACCCTTCATACTTTCAGAGCTTCTGAGCTACGTGGGCACTGCTCACATTTGGTGTGAAGCCGCTTGCTTTCTGCATACCGAGGTCCCCAAAGGCCATTTGCTTCACACACTTCCTCCTCATATTTCAAGATGGATCTTCTTCCCAAATTGGCCACCGTGTCCCTTCCTCCAGGAAGCCTTCCTTGCTTAGCTGGCCCTTCAATCTTCTGTGCCCCACTGGCTGGTATTCTTTTCTGTACTCAGGGTCTTCCCTGGGTACATCAGAGCTCTTGGTGAAGGTGAAGGGTGTAAGCTGTGATTTCCGGCCTTCTCACAGGTACGAGGAGGAGATCAACCGGAGAACGGCCGCAGAGAATGAATTTGTGCTGCTCAAGAAGGTGAGGGGAAGGCAGTTCCAAGGCCAGGGGAGCGGCTAGGTCTACCGTGGGCTTCACCATCGGTCCCCACACGAGCTGATGCAAATAACAATGGCCATGCTCTCCAGAAGGAATGAAGGGGCAGGGAGGATGATGGGAAGAACCAGCATGAGGGACTCCCCCAGCCGTGGAACTAGGCTCAGACGTTGCAGAGGTGACTTTCACAACAGCCTGGCTGGAACACCCTTTCTGAGGGTTCTCACTCCTGTTCATGGAATAGGTTCTCAGGATGAGAGGTGAGGGCTATGCCATCAGCTGCCCCTGCCTTCCTCGTGTGCCACACAGGAGAAGATAATGTCTCCCTCCATCAGGCAGCTGGGCTGGGGATGAAGGTCACCTTTTTGGTGACTCTTGTGGTGACCATGGATCACTGCATCTTCTTTCAGGATGTGGATGCGGCTTATGCCAACAAGGTGGAGCTGCAGGCCAAGGTGGACTCCATGGACCAGGACATTAAATTCTTCAAGTGTCTCTATGAAGCTGTAAGTCTCTTTGCACCTCGTTCTCCAGGGGTGCAAAGTTTTAGCCAGTGGCTAAAATTCTAGATTAGAGACTGGGGGAGTCACAGAGGCTCCAGCTCTTAAGGAGGCCTCTGAGTTAGTCACCCACCTCACATGTTATTCCTGAGAGCCCCCTTCGCATTCCTGAGGCCTCATTCCATGGCAGCAGAATCTGCCTAGGGCCCAGCAAGGTATTTTCTTTGCTTGAAGGTAACAATCCTGTGTTCCAAGGCCCTATGTGGTATCACTAAAATTTGTCAGTGGTCAAGCTGATATACTCCCCCACCCGTGGTCCTTGTAGGAGATGGCTCAGATCCAGTCCCACATCAGCGACATGTCCGTCATCCTGTCCATGGACAACAACAGGAACCTGGACCTGGACAGCATCATTGATGAGGTCCGTGCCCAGTATGAGGAGATTGCCCTGAAGAGCAAGGCCGAGGCTGAGGCGCTGTACCAGACCAAGGTGAGAGGCAGAAACAGGGCCAGGGGTGGCAGGTAGGGTGGCACCATGATGTGAGGTCTCACACAGTTATATCCAGACAAGAGACAGTGCCCAGACCAGAATCCCCTGTGCCCTGGTGCCGTGACCCTTCAGTCAGGGATGTGGGGAGCTCACAGACTCCATGCTATCACACTTATCCATCTCTGTGCTTTGGAATTTCCAGTTCCAGGAACTGCAGCTGGCAGCTGGCCGCCACGGGGATGACCTCAAAAACACCAAGAATGAAATCACTGAACTGACCCGGTTCATCCAGAGACTCCGCTCAGAGATTGAGAATGCCAAGAAGCAGGTGAGGGACCTTGGCCTGTGGCCTGGAGCAGGGAGCCCAGCGGAGGGCATGCAAGGTGGTTGAGGGCCTTGGCTTCCCAGATGTCTCTAACAACAAGAGAAGATACTAGTGAGGTCACTGCCTTCAGCAACTGGGCGTCTCTGGGGCACACTCTTTGCTACTCACTCCCAGTGCCTTCCCTGCCCGACAGGCTGGGCTCCCCAGTGTCTGGGCTTCCCTTTTCACAGCTCTTGGCAGTTCCTCTTGGCAGGTGCCTGTACCCCATGTTCTCTGAACTGAACAGAGAGTCAGGTGCCAGCTGCTCCAAGCTCCCTCAGCATCTACTCCACAGTAGTAGCTTCATAAATATCATTGGTGTGGCTGAGAAGCGGAAGTGGGCTCAGAGAGTCCCCAGTGAAGTAGGGATGACTCACGCTAGCAGGTGAGGGCAGAGGATGCAGATGGAATGAAACGGCAGATGTGTCCACTCCTCTGCCGAGTTCAATGCCCACAAAGGCCTTGAGGAGCAACATTCCCATTCTCTCTGCACCAGATGAGAGGTGTAGCGAGGTGGCACAGAATATAGCGGCTAGACACAGTCCCTTGTTCTTCCTGTGGGCTTTAACACAACCGCTCTGCAGCCATGAGTACAGATCATCCCTCCGTCCTTCATAGGTGGCCGTAGGGTCAAATGAGGTGAGGCGTGGACTAGGTGGTGCTGAGGATGCTGCTGGGCACAGTGATGGGTGGTGCTGAGGACGGTGCTGGGCACACAGTGATGGGTGGTGCTGAGGATGGTGCTGGGCACACAGTGAGCACCTGGAAAATAATATCATTCTGGGAGAATCTCTTTCCTATGACCTTGGCCTTGGGCCATTTGTCTAGGCTGGAGTTGTCACTGCATTGAGCACATTGTCCTATAATATCTTTCCCCGCAGACCCTAAACAGCTCAAGAATGGAAAGTCACTTAGTCACTATGCAGCCTGATGGCCAGTGTCTGGGCACTGAAGTGGTTGTGGTCTCCAGAGGGCAGGAGCATGTTTTCCTTTCGCCATATGTCTGGGAATAGGGGCATAGCCGAGATCCAGGAAGGCTTGCCAGCTCCTTTCAGCCAAAGCATAAGCGTGGTGTGTGCACAGCATGCTACTGGATCTTACTGAATGTGAGGGGTTTGTCTACAAAGACCAGGCCTTCTTCGGTTTTCTAACTTCTTGAATTCCTTGCTTAGGCTTCTAACCTGGAGACAGCTATTGCTGATGCCGAGCAGCGAGGAGACAGTGCCCTCAAGGACGCCCGGGCCAAACTGGATGAGCTGGAGGGCGCCCTGCACCAGGCCAAGGAGGAGCTGGCTCGGATGCTGCGTGAATACCAGGAGCTGATGAGCCTGAAGCTGGCCTTGGACATGGAGATCGCCACCTACCGCAAGCTGCTGGAGAGCGAGGAGTGCAGGTGAGCAGGGGCAAGGAGCCTCTGGTGCCTCACGGGGAGCTGTCGAGGAGAATGGGGCGGTGATAAGAGGAAAGTTAATCACAGATGGGAACATCAGCTGGGCTGGAAGGGAAGCTCAGTGGGTGCTTAGCACATGCAAAGCCTGACCTTGATCATCAGCCCTGCATACAATGGACGTGGTAACACATTCCTAACATCCCAGCTTTTGTGAGGTGGTCAGGAGGATCATATGTTCAAGGTTACCCCTAACTATAGTGACTTTGATGCCAGTTTAGCTTACATAAGACCCCATCTTAACCAGAAAAAAAAAGAGTAGCACCCATACCCATGAAGTCTGAATGCACACTTCATCCTGGTTGCTGTGCTGTGGTAAGCTACATGAATTAGCACATTCAGCTCTTACAACCTCCCCAGAGTGTCTGGGAGCATCCTCCTTTCTCTCCTGAACCCCATTCCTTTATTAGGATTTCTTATTCCCTCTTTCCAGGTACACTGTGAGCTGGCTGGGTGGGGCTGTGCTAGGCTGGCCACCCTAGCCTCCCGGTGTTCTAGGGAGAGAGAAGGCTCACCACAGTGGGACACAGGAGGGAACACAGACATCCTTTAAAAACTATTCTTCAGTCCAGTGTGTTGCCTGCTTACCCACAAAGTTTCAGAGGTGGCCTCCAACGCTTCTGTGGCTCTGCTTGTACTAAAGCAGTCCTGAAGTTTCCACAGCTGCCCTGCAGGTCCAGAAGCCCACTTAGGGCTGTTGCAGGCAGCCACCTTGGAAGAGGCTGTGGGATGCTCCTAATTTTACTTCTCTCCTCTACAGGATGTCAGGAGAGTACCCATCCCCTGTCAGCATCTGTAAGTATTTTGGGGGACTTGGAGCTAAGTCAGAGGTGCTGCATAGACACACTCTGTGTGTAGACAAGGGCCCTACAAATCAGAAGGAGAAAGGCTGAGATCACAAAGTACAGAAGACAGACTAGGGTCGGGTCTCTAGTTCCCTGTCCCTCCGGACTCTTTTATCTTTGTCATCCTGCCTCCCAGGGAATAGCAGTAAGGGATGGCCACAGGAGAAGGGAAACGAAGGATGAATTCTGAGAAAATGATGCATGTCGGGGTCTGTGCCAGGCTTTTGAGGCTGGGTTTGCAAATTACAGACAGATCAGGACTGGCGCTTTAGATGGGGGGACCTGTGCGGGGCAGGACTGAAGTGACTCCAGAAGAGGTACTTCAAGCTGTCAGGACTGGATCTGGGATCACGGATCTTAGATTGCCATCTGTGGGGAGTCAACAAGAAAAAGAGGTGCAAGGCAGATTTAGCAAAGCCACGAATAGGAGGGACAGTGGTGGATGCCCGAGACAAGTGAGTACATGGGCACCTGGCTAAAGGAGTGGGCTTGAGCATCAATGGGTATAAACTGAGTAAGTCAAAGACATAGGGAGGAGTCTTTGGGATCTCCTCCTCAGGATGAGGGCATGACTATGACCAGGTCCTTAGAGAGTCCAGTCTGTCTTGGGGGAAGGAGAGTCTCCTCCCTAGCTCTGCCTGAGTAGGTCCGAGCCCCCCCCCCCCTCTCTCTCTCTCTCTCTCTCTCTCTCTCTGCAGCCATTATCAGCAGCACCAGTGGCAGTGGAGGTTATGGCTTCCGGCCCAGTACAGTCAGTGGTGGCTATGTGGCTAATAGCACAAGCTGCATCTCTGGAGTGTGCAGCGTCCGCGGTGGGGAGAGCAGGAGCCGAAGCAGCGGCAGCGACTACAAGGATACCCTAACGAAGGGCTCCAGCCTGAGCACCCCCTCCAAGAAAGGTGGTCGGTAGACAGAGCTTCCTGCGGCTCCCCTCCTCAGAACCCCTGTGCCTAGTCTGCTGTCCCCTTTCTGTCCCCTATCCCACTCCAGGGGCCCTGGGTTTGTCCTCAGCTAATCTCCTTCCTCCACGGTTCTGAGCCTGGATCACTCTGGACTACCGTGTGCTGGTAGACGCCAGGGCCGGGCCAGTGTCAGCTCACCTCTGCCCAGGTCCAGCCCATCCCTTCCACCAGGCGTTGCCTCTGTCCTTAACTGGCTTCTTGGGTCTCAACCTGGTCTTTCTTGTCTGCTGGGCTTTCGTCTCAGTTTGTGCTGATGACAGAAGCTAGCTCTGAATCCAAGAGGGCGACAAACAGACAATGAACTGAGAGTGGCCAGCCCATCCGACCCCGACACAGTCTCATTTTGAGTGGGACCACTCAGAGTAAAGGAACTCTGTCTTCACTTTCCTGCACCCAGAACCAGAAAAAAGAGGACACCCTTGGCTTCTCCTGTATTCCTTAAATCCCTCCTTGTCGCATCCTCAATAAACCGTGCAATCTGATGTCTTAGTCTCTGAGTATTCAGTGAGCACAAGTCAAAGGCTCATGCGAACATGCATACACACAGCACACATGCTGTCACATGCAAGTGTGCCACTGCATGTTGCCAGTATGGGTTGAGTGGGTCACGGTTTTCTCTGCAGAGCAGAAACGAACAAAGGCTTAGTGTGCTTGGCAGAAGGAGGACCTCTCTCTGGGGCTGCAGATGGGGGAATGCAGAGAATAGTCTGGAAGGAATCGGGGGTGGAAGGACGGGCGGGGAGTCTGTGGCTGTCAACAGATGTCTGAACGGTGTCCTGGCAGGAACTCTCACCCCTTTCTTGGATCTTTCCTGGAAGGCAGGCGGGTATCTGCAGCTGCTCTGCTCTTCACTGCACTAAGCCTTTTGGGAGAGTGAAGCTGGTGAGACTCCCACATCCTGGGCCGCCGCTGTGCTCAGATAGGCAGGCGGCAAGTTTCTGGAAGCGTAGGCTGGAATAGGGTGGAGCAAGTAGTGGTGAGGCTGGGCGGTCAACACCTTCTAGGAACTTGTTGGCTGAGGGGACTAATGTCGTGATGGTCAGTCCTGCCTTGTGTGGAGGAGGAGTTCATGGACAGACAGATTGCCTAGGCTAGTTGTCTGACTAGAGAAGGAATGGAGGCAGAGGAGGGGCAAGATGTTTGTGGGTCATGGAAACCCAGAGACCATGAAGTCAGTGGGGAATGGCTTGTTTGCAAGCTAACTCATGGTGCTGTTTGGGAGCTAGGCAGGGGTTTTGGTCACACAGTAGACTAAGGGTGTGGGTCTGGAATGCAGAAGAGGGATGGATGGGCTGACAGGTGGGAGTGAAGGGAGCAAGGGTTGAGTAGGTTGGGCAGCTGGTACAATGTTCAGAGCAGTGACCATACATGTGTGTGCATGTGGGGGGTGTGCATCCATGTGTGGTCGTGCATGTGTGTGTGTGTGCTTGTGTGTGCATGTACATGTGCTGGTGTGTGTGTGTGTGGTGGATGGTGGCAGCTACATGCCTGCGAATACAGGTTCTTCTAAAGGCAACATGGTACTGGATCTGTGGAACTGATATTACAGGTGGTTGTGACACATGTATTGGATGTTGGGATCTGAACTCAGGTTCTACAGGAACAGTGAACCCTCTTAAGGGCTGAGTCGTCCCTCCAGCCCCTAAGGCTGTATTTACAATATACTCCCGAATGCTGCTGCTCCAAGGGACCTCACCTGAAGAATGGAGGACTTGTTGCTATCCAAGGTCCCTCCTTGTCCAAGAGGACTGAATGTGTCAGTGTCAGAAACACATCTGCCCTCTAAGGAGCCAAAACCAGGGTAGAGGAAACGAAGGACTCAGCAGAGGGATTTCAGATGTGGAAACCTGCCTTTCCTTAAGTGTCCTCACTGTTAATAAAGTTTCCATGCAAAGTACAAGCCGTTCGGACAATTCAGCGTGTCCCTGGAACTGGACTGCGCTCTGGGGACCGGACAGGGCAGAGGAAACGGCGGGGCAGGTGGTGCTGCAGTGACGCTGAGAGACTTTAGTGGGACAAACCTGCGCAGAGGGTGGAAAGTCCTCTGTCCACGGAAAGTCTGGAATTGACTCCACACAATGGGCAGATCTCTCACTGGCCTCAGGACAGAAGGAGGTGGAAGAACTGACAGCAGAGGCAGGGAGTCTTCTGGAGGCCGTGGAGGGCCTGACTCTAAGCTATTGGGATGGGCCAAGTGGGGGAGGGGTGGGAAAGCTGAGAGATGATGCAGCAGGCCTCTCCTGATGCAAAAAAACATTGCCTTAGTGGTGGAACAATGACCTCTCATCCAACTCCTAGCACCACACAAGGACCTGAAAGGACACTAGGCCAACCGCCATGGGTGACAGAAATGCCGAGGTGTCCCAGGCTGGAGATGGAGACAGAACTGGATGCAGTTGGACAGCTCTACTGGATGAGGTGGTATAAGGAGATAGAAGGGGGACAGTGGGCTTTGTTGGGGCTGAGAGGACCAAGAGGTAGAGCACTGTGGTTGCCATGACAACAGAAGAAGCAGAGAAGAAAGGAGTGCTACTTTGTTCCCTGCAGAGTCCTATCCTCCAACGTAAGCAGTGATAGCCCATGATGCTTGATTCACGTCCCTTGCTTCAGAGAACTTTATCGTTCTCTGCCCTACCTTGATGGCCCTTCCTCCCAACTAGCATTGGTGACCAGATACTCAGCTGTCATTCCTTTGTATTCGCAGCACGTGTTTGGCACACCTGTACATGCATGGCGGCTTGTGGGCTGAGTTCCCTCCCCACATGACTCAGACTCTAAGCGGTCACTGTGAGTACTGATAGAAGCCAGCCTGGAGGTGCCCAGCTGGAGGGCACCCCATAGCTGGCCAGGCCAGTCACAGCCATCCAGCTGGGGCTACAATGAGCCGTTCAGGATGACACTGGTTGGGACATATTCAAGCCATCTCTGAAGGGTAAAGGGAAAGTCAGGTCCCCATAGCACCTGCCTGCCTTGGCCACTGCCATCTCCCTTTTTCCATCCGCGAAGCCTCTTTTCCATAGTCCCTTCCTGCGGGCCAGTCGCCAGAGGGCCAGCATTGGATAGAAGCTAATGCTTGTTACTCCCATAGGCTGACAACAACACCTGTGTCATCCCTCCAGGTGGGTGTTCTTTGTCCCAAAACACAGATGTCCTAAATCTAGGATGACAGAGTCAAGACACAGTGAGCTCTGTCTCTCCACAGCCCACACTCTTTCCAGACACCACCCTGCCTCCCAGGATGGGAGTCAGTACTTGGCTCACCCAGCTGCCAGACTTTCCCAGTCCTTCCCAATGCCCCCAAAGTTTCCTGCCCATTCTCTATAGAAACTTCTGGTGTTTTCCATCAGAGGAATTCTGATGGACTGGGTGCCACACACTGAGCTGGGTCCTCCTTTCCCTGGGTTTTCCTACTGCTGGCTGCCATAGGCTGGACACATTGCCACTCCAGGCCACTCCAGGCCACTCTAGGGCACTCCAGGTCACACAATGCTTCTCCCACCACCACAATGATAAGATTGTTAGACCAAGATTTGATCTCAATTCTGTGTTCCCTTGAGCCTTGAACAGGGGTGGCTAGGCAATAGAGGCACTCTTGGCCTAGGCAAAGCTAATGGATGGAGAAACAAGCAGAAAGGCGGGTATAATATGGGAGGGGACCTGCGGAGTATGATTGGTGTGTGTGTGTGTGTGTGTGTTGTATGCATGTGGTGTGTGTGTGTTGTATGTGTGTGTGTCTGTGTGTGGTGTGTGTGGTGTGTGTGTCTGTGTCTGTATGTATGTCTCTCTGTGGTGTGTGTGTGGTGTGTGTGTGGTATGTGTGTCTGTGTGTTTTTGTGTGTGTGTGTGGTGTGT